AACCTATATCGCCAGTATTGTACGGTCAAGGAGAAGAGTCCAAAAAAAGAGCCAGTAGAGCAAGCCGTTTATTCTTGTTCCTTAATATGCAGCTGAGATGAAAGTCAGAAGCGGTAAACTTTCGAATACATCAACGATATAGAAGACGTGGGTGTACCGTTCACTGTTGTGAGTTTGTCCTACCACCAAGTTATATTCTTCCGTCTTTTCGGGAAGCGCAAAATTATATATCGACGTCTCCAATTTGTGCTTCACGTCAGGGCTTAAAAACACACCTTAAATCACAGGGTAATTAAATGCACGGAAGTTCATAAGCAGGTTACCGGAGACAAACTATCCAGTGGCTGGAGCGGTTTCTTTGAAGAACTTCAAGTAATACAATGAGAGTAGCGAACGATGTAAACTTTTCATTTGAACAAACTATTTCAGCTGACCATCACAAGCACGTAACACGCATGATCTCTATGACTCGTTATCAGCCGCCGTGAAGTGGAAGATAGGACATCTATCACCCGCGTACAGTTGGAAAAATCAGCAGAAAAACCATAGCCGTTTTTTGATTTACACAATTTTTCAAAAGAATATATTTTGTACAAGCCGTGGGGTCCAAAATTGGCAATACGGCAGATGTCCAATAAATTCAATGGTGGTATAATCAGCTACACTAGTCAAAGCTGTGTTATAAATGAATAATGAACTCCGGCAAAATCGCCATCACTTCACATAATATTGGGTTCATTAATTGGGATACTGATTCAGCTAACAAAATAATTCACAATAAAATAACTGAGATCGGTGTTTTTCAAGAAAAGTGAAGTGTCTGCCTACTAGATTGTTGAAATTAGCTTGGATAAAATTCGCGACGAAACATAACTCTCATAATGGCTGAGTTCCTCAGGTAGGGCAAGAATGCTAACCGTTTTGTGCTTAAATTCAAAATGATCTTGAACAAAAGAGCACTTATTTAAAAGTTGAAAACAGAAAAAAATTGGGTGTTCTTATGTTTAATTTCCTCTGATTTTCAAAGAGACATTTTCCGCATAATTTGACGACTCGATTTTATATGCCTAGTGCCCCTCATGTAGCTCGTGCTATTTGCTGTTATTTTCCCTCATTCAAGGATCCTAGTCGCTTTTGCTTGCAGGCAAATGCGTGAAAGTATGTACGGATGCTTGCATCATATGCTAATATAATTTAATTGAAGACACAAATGGTGAATAAACGTTCGTTGACAGCTAGCCGAACTCATACTTTTGAATTTTAGGCAGACACTTTTGGCAGTGCATTAATTCACTGCTGCGTTTTTGGGTTAACCAGATTGTTGATACCCACGTGGGTTTGTGGTAAAGCTTCAAATAACATATGATGTACGTCACTACAAAAATAGCACCAGATGTTGGCACGGACAAATCCCATTCAAACTCTTGGAGCGGTTGAATTTTAAGTGGCATATGATGGATGCATCCGTTATGTTATATATTTTATATGTTATACATGTATATTATATATTATATTTTGATCCTGAGCATTTTTATAGGGTATCAGATGTGGTTCTGCCTTGCATTCGGAGTGCCGCTAAGACAATTAATTGTTTTTTGCCGTACATAAGATCCGCGGTCATGAAGCGGTGCCTGTATATATGTGGTAGATTTCGTGTACAGGATACTCCGAGGACAGTATGGTTTTCAACGTATTTTTCGTTTCACTGATGCTTCACTGGTTATAGCACTACAAAAATCGTTAGCTGGCCTCTTTAATTGACTAAAAGTGAATACCAATACTTTCCAAATGACCTGACAGTTGTGTCTATGTAATGGCATTATGCTTAAATAATTGGCATTAATGTGTACTCAAATCAACCGACTACATAACGAATCCAGCACATGATCGGAGCTATCGATTCTGGTCAGCAAAGTGAAATATCACACTTTACCAAGCCTGAATGCGAAAGTCATGTCCGTGTGACGCCACAGTCCAGCTTGAACAAAATCAACGAATAAATACTGAAATCAACATTACCTATTGGATGTGGTGAACGCGTGTGCGTAGTAAAGAATCGATTATGGCGCAACACACATTAGCACAAAACGTAGCTGTGTCAATCAAGTTATCAGTGAATTAAATTTTGTAATCTATCCTAGTTAGATACTTACACAGGCAAGTGAATATGCATTTTACAGTTGTGTCTATTATAATGCCCAAGCCAGACAGACTGCCTGATGGAGGAAAATTTTGCAGACAGGATGACGGAGAACTACTTCCTGTTTGGCCAAGCAGATGAGGAAAGTGTTAAAGGATGCTGCAGAACCAGATGATGTTTTGAGGTCTCTATCACCGTTTGTTGCAGCCCCTCCAAATTTCATTTGTTACGGTTGACGTATACAGGTCTTAGACTAATATTTCTTTGACTTGCTCAAGCAAGCGTTGAAAATCCTTCAAAAATAATTACTTGTCCCTAAGTGAAACGTCTTATCAAGGATGCATGTCTGTGCCTCTTATTGGTTATTTCACTTAAAGAGTATGTGACTCTAACGTCACACTACGAACGAAAATACCGATAGCCAGCTGAATGATGGCTTGTTGCCTAGCCAGTCAGAACAGCCCACATAGCGCGCCCAATCTTCGGAGTGCACAGTTACTGTGCAACTATAAGGCGTTAACTGAGAACATCAGATTTTCCATGTAAAAGAGTTAGTAATGATGATTATTCTGATTCCATCATACTCAGGTTGAATGGTGAACTATAAGGGCCCGTGAGAACTTCTTCGCTTGTCTAATTCGCCCGGGTTTACACGGCCTCCTTCAGTTTCATCAAGCAATACAATCTAGCACGAACAAACAATTTACGTTTTATCAGCTACACGCGATTGTCACAGCAACTCGGTTTAGTGCACCCGCCGTCATCGTTATCAACAGCAGATGGTCTGCTGTCCGGGTACAGGAAACCTGTTTCAAACGTCTGTTACACCACTGTTGGGACAGACCAGAAAATGTGCAAACCTGAAGTTCGATAAAAAATAACCTGTTCAAATGACCTACTTGGGGAAGATCAGCTTGTTGTATGCCCTTCCTGATAAAATTTGCGCAGGTTATTTATCACTTAAAAGCTGCTTTCAAGACAAGCAATGTTCTATACTCTGTATGAGTTTACACCAATACACTTGGAGTTTCTGGACCATACCAGCCGTACAAGTGGCTAACCGCTGGTGCTGATTACATGCTTCTGAAAATTTAGTAAATAAGAGCGTGGTAATCCGAGTGTGAAGTTCAAGTTCGTAGGCGCTGTGTTGGGTTGCTTCCTAGGTAAATTTCTACTCTTCTTAGAGTCAAGGAGTTAATCTGTTGAAGGTTTGATTGCATTTAGTGAAAATACCACCACTGCCCTGGACATATTGATCCGTTTTAAGGTCGCTTGAACCAAGGGCTGTTACTTAAATACATTGTTTTCGGCTCATGATTGTTGATTATCCGCATGCTATTTTTGCAAGTTTCTGATATCCAACAAATAACGGATTATACCGCGCTTATTTTGTGCAACACGTGAATAACGACTTTCAGTATAACCTTAAACATTGGGTTTACCAGTACACAGCCTAACATATACAGTCCCATTGAGTACAACTGCTTCGTCTTTCAATGCACTACTGCACACTGGCCACTTTTACGACGCATTTTTAGTGGCAAGTACACTTCAAAACCAACGTGTTCCAAAATCACTTCGCTATGTCGTTAAAAACCGTGAATTTCCCTGTTGTATAGCACTCAAAATTTCGTTTTAAAGTACAACTAGAATTGAGACTGAAATAAAACCAGCCATCTCTGGTTGATTTCATGAGAAACCCGAACAAAATATGGATATATTCGGCTAATAAACGGCAGAAAGCCTGTTGCTTTAGGAAAATTGGTGTTACCCACAAGCACCAGGTATCGTCAGCACATAATCGGTTTGTGTATTCAGACAGGAACCCTTTCGCTTACCCATTATGTATAAAATTCTCGAGTTTCCATAAATGATGACTTGCCAACTCTAAGACTGACTTTGTCTTAAATCGAGTGATATTACGACTTTAGGGCGACGATTGAAAGCGTATATATATA